TAAATTATTAGATTTACAGATTACTAGAACAATAAGATCACAAAGGCAGTGAATGATTCAGTTTCTGTCTTTCTCTTCATTAGCAGACAAGCAGAGATAAAATAACTTTTCAGGCCCTCAGAGTTCTAGCAAACCTTCACCAAGTTTCTACTAAATGCCTTTCTGAGCATGACATCACCCTCTTTAGGGAAAATCTTCCTGTGATAGCTAGTAAAGCCAGACAAAGGATGCAAGGACAGGGAGAAAAAGGGCCTGAAGAAAGCATGACTGTATGAAGGTAAAAYTCATCTCCAAGTAGAATTCAGGAGCTGCCCAAAGCCAGTAGAGGCAGTCCTGGTCTGGACTCATGTTTTGGCTCCAGGGCCACTGCTCAACTGCTGGAGAAGGGGTATGCAGGGATCCATGAGGCTCTGCTGAGAGGGCCTAAACCTGGGGATAAAATTGTTCCTCATCCTGGCCCTGGGAAATGGAAATACTTCATGGCCTCTTGCTAAATTGTGCCCATCTACAACTAGTTTCYAAGCTTGCACTCATTTATTTTCAGAGCAACCCTGCAGTGGGTCAGTACATCTTCTATTTGGGCTAACCCAGTTTTTGTGTCTTTGCTTTTCTGAAGGTCATGTGGGAAGTAGCCCTTCTCTGCTCCAAAACGAGCACACTCCTTCCCCATTTAGAAAGTGACACATTCAGTTCGTAACAGGGAAAGAGTCATTCTCTTCTCCCACCCTCTTGCCCAACAGCTCTTGTGATACCAGACTGATGGTTTTATTTCCAACCCTCTACATGCAAACCCACCCTTGCTATCAAAATCACATTTTAAAATCAAGGTGGTGTTTCTAGAAAYGAAAGATCTCTGCAGGGAAAATTGACCCTGGCTTAAAGTTGCAGCCAACTTTCTTCTTTCCTGTGCATTGTGCAGGTAAAGACAGCAAAAGCAGCATCATTATTGTGGGCCGCCCACCCCTTGATTCCTGTGGGCACTGCAGATCCTCTCTGAGGCCAGGGCAGGCTTCCAGTTGCTATATGACCTGCAGCAAGTGTAGCTCAAAAGGCTGCCACTGCATTATCCTTTTGTTTCCCGTGGGAAAACTGGAGAAGCCCCTCCACCAGGGATGCTTGCAAGCAGCTGCTTGGCTCAGCCAGCTGAAAAACACCAGGGAGAGAAGTGCTTATCTCCATTTGCCTGCTATTAGAGGTCATGGCCTGTATTAAACATATCTTTCTGGCAGCATCCAAGGACAGACAGGGTAGGTTTTTTCACTAAGCAGRGAAAGTTTTGACTGTCAAGCTTCCTATCAAAATATGCAAAGCAGCAGGAGCTCAATGCCTCCCCATCGTAATGAAGAGAGGGAGAAGTCATGCAGCACTATTCAAACTTTGAYAAGCTCCTGTAGGTAGTGAATGAAGCTAAGGCAGAAAATATGATGAAACATGCTGACACAAAGACATCCTCAGTGCTGCTTGAAGACAGGAAAAGAGGAAGCTCTGGTGCTTTGAAGCCTGTATTTTATCCCACTATACCTGCACRGGTGTGCAAATTTGTCATGGTGTCAGTCAGGGACTGTTTCTCTTGGCTTCTTCAACACATTCACCACAGTTAAAGCTGCCAGTTGGGAATGAGGTAGATAGTTTCTGAGGGAAAGGAAGATTTTATTTCTCAGAAAATGTGTCTTTTGGTACAGATCTAGATGATCTCTTATCTTCACATCTTCTTAGGCAGAGGAGATATATTTTTCCAAACACAACTTCCTCATTTCCTTTCAATTCACTCATCAGCTCACTAGAGGTCCATTAAACATGAGCACCAGCATGCTGGTTTCCGGTCTTGGMGCCATTTCCTAATTTTTGGAGGTTAAAAATATTCAGGAACCACAACAAACCCCTCTCTTTCAGCTCAGGATTAGCTGGGACTGAAAGCCAGGTGGCTGTAAAATTGCCAGGAAAGCTATAAAGCATTTTATTAAAAGAAGAAAAAAAAAAAATCCCATTTCAGTGGGTTTCATTATATGTCAGAATTGCATTTGCAGTTATTAATTTTAAATAGTAGTCCTGCAAAGTCCTATTGATGGGATTTAATTATTCAGATGAAATCTGAAGTGCCTCCACTTTACTGAGCCCTGCACCTGCATCATTAATAAGATTTCTATCTAAAGCACCTCCCTCCTGGGTCAGGCAAAAGGCACTGAGTAATCAACAGTATTTTAGAGCCTGACTCTGGCCTTTGCAGGACAAGAGGTGCAAATGTATCCAGCTACTTGTGACAGGACATGAACCTAAATCAGCTCAACAGAAACATCACACTGCTGTGGCAAGCAGATGCAGTGTGCACTGTGGGCCAATGCAAAGCTCACAGGCTCTGGCACCAGCACTAAGTGAGGGTGGCAGGGCCTTGGGAGAGTGCATGCCCTCTATACTACCAGACACACAGCCCAGATGGTAAAAACCCCAGGGTCCTGCTTTGGCACCAATTCAAGAAGTYCTGTTTCCAAGGGCTTGGTGGCTGGCTGGGGGAACAAGCAATTGGTTGACTGACTTCTTTCAAAGATCCTCCACATTTTTCCTTAACCTTAAGTAGAAATCCTGYAAGGATGAAATTTTGCCCAGAACTGCATTCTCCACACTGTTTTGCCCACCATTTCTGCAAGAGTGCTATGGATCTATCCCAAGGCTTACCAAACCATATACAAATAGTGATGGCAGCACTTGAAAAGATCCTAGACATGCTTTGGGCAGGAGAAAGAGAAGGGTTGGGGTGAGCAGCACTGCAGTGGTGCTGTACATGTGGGGCAGGATGACAAAGGCAGGGAGAAGTTTGGGAATGCAATAGGATGGGGACCCCCCCTCCCCCTCACATGTAGGAGTCTGAAGAGGAGGTGCATCCCCAGAACTGCTTGGCATCAGCCCCTGTGTAACCCATGACCAAGTCCCACTTTCCCATAGGTAGGTTTCATACTGCACATCCTCATTTCTTTGCTTGTTTCTTCCTAGGCATATCTTTCAGAGAACCACAGGAAGGTTTTTGTTGGAAGGTTTTTGTTGGAAGGCACCTTTAAAGATCATCAACCCTACAACCAACAATGAAATTTTAAGGCCACTATGAATCCCCAGTAAAAAAATATGACTTGTACTTTTAAAATTCTTTCAGGAAGTAGAACAACTGTTTGTGTACCAACATCTTTCATAGAAGTGATGCTATCTGTAGCCTTGTTTAAGGGAAATACAGAGAGCAAAGGAATATTATTTTTTTGCCACTGATGCCACAAAAACAACTGGAGGATGTAATATAAACTGTGGAAMGCCCGTGGTGAGCTGAACAAGTGCATACTGATGCTCCGGCTTCTTAAATATCTTACAAAGTTTAGTAGTGACAAAGAGGGATGTTGCAATTAGCTTGCAAAGTCCTTTCAGRACTTTGAAGTGAAAGGCAGCCATAAAGCAGCAGCTGTCCAGATTCAGGTGCCAGGGAAATCTTATTGAGCTCTCTCAGTGCCTGGTCAAGGCCCATACCTTCAAAGTCATGGCATGAACAAGAACTGCGCTGGGCACGTTCAAATGGATCTTCATTGACTTCTTCACTAGTTATGGGCATTGATTTCATGCCTACCTTTTCACCACCAGCAGAAAGGTACCKAGTAGCACTAGATCAGATCCTAATTTCTTCCGAATTCCTATTTTCTGATTTCCTGTGCTCACAGCACTGGATGTGGTTAGTGCTTCTCCAGCACATCAYATAGTGCTAWGCAAACACTTCCTAAAGCCCTTTTRCTGCTAAGGTGGATCTGTTTGCCATGGTAAGGCCAGCTGGTCTTAGCCATATTCACTCYCTTTAACAGGAGTTAAAATCAATCTCATCAATCTCCCCATTCTCTGACATGTGGCTGCTTCCCCACCAGGTGTACTGAGAATTTTCAAAAAATATTGCTCTTGATTTTAKTCCTGTAAATGGAATCTCCCTATTCTCACAGATTAAAGTTAAGGTAAGTGATCTCACAGAACCAGCTATTGACGCTTTCTGATTTGAACTGTCAGTGGTGTTTATAGCCTCCCTAGACATCAGAAAATTAGAACTTTGGTCTCAGCTTCCTGCTGCTTTCCACATCCAAACCAAAATCCTTATTTAAATGCTTCTGCATATGCCCATGTTGTTCAGATCTGCTCATTCTACAAAGGGCCTTAAGGGCATGTTTTGGTCCCTGACATCCCTGGATTTCTCTTTCTTACCTTTTAKCACTGGCAGCCACCTTTGCCTGCTAAGGCTGCCCTTAGCTTCCTGTTCCACCTCTTCACCAACTTTGTTGCTTCTGAGCAGACTGTGTTCCCCACTTGCCTCTCTGCTGTTTGCTCCACGTGGCTTTTTAGTGACTGCCTTGCTCTGGTGAGTAGGCTCTAAGCCAGTACCGCTTTCCTCCTTGGAATGAGTGAAGAATTGGCCTTTCAGTTTAGCTAATCAACTTCTAAAAAACTGCCAGACTCCATTTAGGTTCCTCCATCAGCTTTCACTCCTGCTGGTCTCACTACATCATTTCCTGGCTTTGGGAAAGGGGCTGTACCGGAACGAAGCAGTGTTCAAAGCCAGGCTGGAAAAAAGCCTTGAGCAACCTGGTCTAGAGGAAGGTGACCCTGCTTATGGCAGGGGATGTCGGGACTAGATAATCTTTAAGGTCCATTCCAACCCCATAATATTCTACGATTCTGTGATTCTGTGAAGCCACGCTACCGGCTGGATCGCCTGCAGGGAAGGGGAGGTGAGTCTCAGACCAAGAGCTGGCTCCCCGTGGAGGGGGAGGCGGGTAACCCACCCACCTCTGGTGTGATCAGTAAAGAAATGTGATTTGTTTGTCACTGAAGCCACGAAAGTACCTGGGTGGTGAAACATGAACTGTGGAAAGCCGGCGGTGAGCTGAACAAGTACATACTAATACCTCTTAAATACCTCGCAAAGCGTGRATCTGACAATAGGGTGTTGCAGTTAGCTTGCGAAGTCCTTTTGGAATTTTGACATGAACGGCGGCTGTAAAGAAGCAGCTGCCCAGATCCTGGTGTTGCAGCCGGCTCGTGCCGTGGAGGCGGAGGAAGGCTGCCTTGTCCCCACAGCGGGCTCCGCAGAGAAACACCGCCCCTCGCA